CAAATCTCATAGTTGGAGAAAGAATAAAATTAGACCTCTAGATGTCACCCAACCAGGTTGATCTTTTTTGTTATTTTCGGAATAATTTTATTCATAAAAATTTTATCATGTTCGCTCTCTGTTGTCATTTCCTACCATCTGTTGAGACCTCTGTGCCGCTAGGCAAGCTACAGCGAAAGAGCACTGGCTTCCACTGTGATATCTTATCTGTGAAGTCTTATCAGTGCCCGTTTCGTTGAAGAAACGATGAACCAAGATTCAACTTCGCGTCATAAAATCTTTGAAACATCAGCCCGACTTTCTTCATATTTCAACTGAAGGCATTTCCGTGAAGTACTTTAGATAAAAAAGTCATTTATATCCGGATTGGGTTCCTCCTCCAGGGCAAGAGTCGTGCATTGACCACGTGATAACGAAACATTCTGAGCTCATCAGTGAAGGATGAACAATTGTAAAGGTTTTATTGCAACTCATAAGAATTACCAAAGGATATATTTTGTAAAATCTATTATATTACGAGCGTCTTTCCTTAAGTCTAGCGACCTACATTGTTCCGGTACCGCATGAGAAACTCTAGCTCGAATCCTCTTGATCTGACGTATTCTTTGTAACCAATTACAGCCTAGGTATCTGTAGTTTTCTTCTGATTTTGGTGAATAACTGACGCAATCTTAAAAAGAAAAACATTCGTATACCGTCAATATCACATCCGGACATTTAAATTACCCTAAGTTACTGACCAAATTTATTTAACATGCATTGCAATATGACGAACCAACTTCGACAGGTTTTTATCGGAAATAACTCTAGGGCCATAATTTGTATTGTTTAGAATATCCCTGAGTTCATCTTTAACGTTCAAACACACGATATTACTGTCGTTATCAATGGAAATGTCAAATACGTTCCTAAGAGCTTTCACTAGAAGAATATTAAAACTTGGTCGCTCTTGCAAATATATTTTGTTGCTTAAGCATGAATACGCTGGGCAGACAGTGTATGCCAATTTAAACAATGATACTGAAAGAATTTTCCTTACCTGACTAATTGAGGCCTCGTTTTTGTTTCTCTTAAGCTCAACTTTTAAAACCTCAGGCTCCGTGCCCTTCTGCAGTGAATCATCTCACACAAACACTTTTCCTGCCGAACAATATGCGCATGACATGTTCGAAGTTGCCTGCTTGTTGACTGTAACCGTGATCAACACATTGCCAAGCAACCAACTTCTTGACACTCCATTGCGCAGGAGTCGTTCAACAACTGCAGTTCTATAAAAACAACAAAATAGTCATCTTCCCTGAAACACAGTGCAGAAAAATACGAAACCAACATACAGACCTTTTTGGTTGGGTCAAATAAGAAGAAAATGTATATTTGACCATCATATCACCCACGATTTCCATCATCTCTGAACTAAGTGTGTTGCTTGAGTCTTCCTTTGATTTCTCAAGGGAGTTTGGGAGTGAATGGAATTTGGTGGGGATTAGTGACTAAGGGTATGGGTTTGCAGCATCTGAAGATATATCTGCGTTGTTAAGACTCTAAAGGAATACAAGGACAAATGATTGAAAACGAGCTTGCATATAAGCAAAATTATGTAACATGAAATGGACAAGTTTATGTAACAACACTGCCTAAGCTGTATAAAGTTTAAACACCACTTCTTAATATCTATTGAAAATTTAGCAAGCAATCTCCGTGGCCATAGAATGACATGTGGACTTACTTTTGTAATCAATGGCACGAATTGTTTTCTTAACAACAGTGGACAGTTGACAAACCAGGATGAAATGACATTATCAGCAAGAGTTACCGTGTATTGAGAGTATCTAAGGTGAAACATATCAGTTCGTTTATATTTTATTCAATTTCACAAAGCCAATAATAAAAAGTTTGAGATGTTATCGCGTTAAACAAACCTCGATGATGCTGTGTGAGGCAAACATATTCCAATGACTTGTTTCAAATGGATCGCTGTGAAGTTTTTGTACTAATCACGAAGCTTTGACAATGCTATTTAAACGTTTAAAAGAATGTTAGCAACTTTTCGTCGAATACGATTGAGTGTTTATACAACCTAGCTCTCCTTAGGGGGTACATTGATATTTCATAAAAGATTTCTTAATTTACGTAACTTCAAGAAACATACCAGAGAGAAATTCTAACAGTGGTATGACAACTTGAGGCGTTGGCGAAAGTTTAGTAAACTTTTCCAGATATGTTGGGAGCAGCCTAAGGACAGAAAATTTAGAAATTATTACCCAAATAATCTTGTGAAGGAGTATCTCGCATAACAAGAGACGTTACATTTAGGCTGGAGTTTATTGAAAAACATTTCTGTAAATTCACTGGCACATTATCAAGGCACGATTTCAAATATCTCGAAAGTAATAAACTTCTAAAACGCTGCAATTACTTAAATCAACTTCATTCTTTACAAAGTGCTAATGGACATAAAAAACGTCTCAAATTCCAGACAATCTTAAGTAGCCATACCTTGCCATAACTGAAGACATTTCTAACATACATATGGTGAGACAAGATACGCTTAACGTCGTGGAATGAGCAACCAAACCAATCTCCAAAGTACGCATCAGACAAAACTAGACGAAATATACAACAACGTTTAAGCGAGAACAGACAACCGCTGAAAATAAAGTGAAGCAGGTTCTTACCTGTTCATCTTGCCCAATAAAAATGTGGTACGTACACAGCTCTGTTAATACCTGCACATGTTACAATAAAATATCCAATTAAATCATTAGTATAGTATGATATAATTATGGTATAAATTGGTTATGCTATGGTATGGTGTGATATAATTATGGTATGATATGGTTATCGTATGGTATGATTTGGTCATGGTATGGTATGGTGTGATATAATTTTGGGATTATATGGTTATCGTATGGTATGATATGGTTATCGTATGGTATGATTTGGTTATGGTTAGTTATGGTATGATATGATTATATGATATGATTATATGATATGATTATATGATATGATGTGGTATGGTTATGGTTATGGTATGGTATGGTTTTGGTATAGTTATGGTAAGATATTATGATAGATGCAAAAAACTGAATGATAAGAACCGTACTGGAAAAATTCTAGCGTACAAATGAGGTCGGCGCATATCATGAGGAACACGAAATAATCCAGGAAGAAAATCATAATTTCAAACCTGAATGCAAAGTAAAATTTTTAGTTCATGATTTTAGTGTGAAAAGTGCACAACTTTACATCCCTTACCATTTTAGATAACACTGTACATATTGAACGTAAGTAGTGCTTTCGAGAATGTATCAAGTTTTTATCTTGCAGTGCCTCCGGAAAGTTTCTCAGAACAACATCCAACACCTCCCATTCCAATTTCTAGAAAATGAAGAAAGTTGAACTTCAATCGAAACTTAATGCCAGATGATATATTATGATAGAAAAGTTTACCTGTTGTAAGCACACAGGAATAACATTCATCGCCTCGCTGTAAGGCAGTGAAACAATCCCGGTTGTCTTATCTTCTGCAGAACTAAAACAAAAATGAGAATGTATTACACTAACAAGAAAAGGAATTTTGGAAGCAGAATACCTGACATGCCTTGCACTATCATCATTAACCAACGTTTTCCTTTCAGAACAATTAACATACAAAGTGAATTTGACTTTTCCACTTTTGTCTTGCACAAGGCCTTGACGTTGTCAGCTCGCAGACTGAGAAAACATTGAAGAATCTTTACAAAAAAACAATGTAAGACATCATAGAAACATCGCGAGAAATAAAATTGAATTTGCCTTACCGAAAGCCGTATTTCCGATGCACTATACGTCCGATAGCCATTGTCATAATGAGTTTTTATGTGGTACACTAATATATTGAATATTCGTTCTGCAATTACATAATAGGAAAGGGAGAATAAAAAAAAATTATATAACATCAGTGTAAAATGAATGATGGAACTGTACAGAAAAATATGGTGTAGGCATAACACGTGGCTTTGCGAAGTAGTTGGCACTAAGAACCATGCTGTCATGCATGCCATCACCAGACATCATCAGATAATCTTGGTTTTTCAATGTTGAAAATAATCCGTTTTGATACTTTTTCCTATGAAGATATATCACAGGGAATATTTTTTTCCTTTAATTATTATATACAAGTACTATAATATCTAATTCCCGTCTGGTCCCTATTAGGCTATTACTCCTGACAATATTGTCGCACAGAAGAAAAACATTAAATATCTCAGCAAGTATTTGGGCTAAAGACCCCGGAATACCAGTAAACGATAGCGGTTGAAACGATTCTTTGAATAGTATATTCCAACCAGCATATAGTTATAACCTGCATTTGTATTATACGTGAAAATAAGAATTAAATAATAGCTTGCTTTGTTATCTGAAATTACTCACCCATTGCAAAATATATTTGGAAATTCCATATTTTTTCGCTTTTTTGGTCTCTGTTGTCTTCAAAATGTCTAGAATTTGACATGTTATCATTCTGTTTTAATTCTGAGTAATTCTTGGTGTAGTATGTGCAAAAAATCAAAGAAAGAGCATTTATAAGTTCTAAGCGATAATCATTGCTAATCACGTGCTTAAGGCAAGCTCGAATCGGACCTAGGTCAGATTTTCGGCTTTTGGCCCGAAATTTTTATTATTGTGAAATATTATTGCCGGTGATGCGATAATTCATATCATCAGGTATGTTTATATAAAAAATGGGCAAAAATCTTCTAAAGGCTTGATTTTGACGCTAAGGATATCAAAATAATCCTGAATATGTGAGCTAAACCACTGCAACCGGTTTTCGTTTGCATTTGGGCAATATCCAAAGAATTAGGCCGCTTTGATGTGTAATATTGAATATATACAACACGTGAATATCGTAGCTGTGAATAGCTATGTATGCATGGCGGTAAAACGCCGTATTTCCACTGGAATTTGCAATATTTAGCCTTGAAATTTACTACATTTGCGAATTTGTCAGTTTGCTATATTTACTATTATTCCATGCCATGCCCGATTCTACAATATTCTGAAAGGTTCAGTAGTTAAATGTACCACAGAATTCAAGTGCTACAACAGTGTGAAAGATTTACTTGCCTTTTAAATTCCGACTTTCCTGTTCGATGGGGTTCTAAAGCTGGTAGGGGAATAAAGCCTTTTAATAATGATTGAACTGTAATTTCTTGTGAACTTCATGAGAGAAATAATCGAACAAATACACTCATACTGTGATACATTGGCTTGGAATATGCTCCAAAACGTGTGAAATCGAACATTTGTTGTGCAATCACCTTGCAAATATCAAAGAAACGGTATCAAATTTTGAATATAGATTAACCAATCTGATTGGTTTTTATTGAACCAATCGTGGAGTACAAAAATTGACCAATGACAAATTGACCTGTGTACAGAAATAACCAATCAAGTTGTCTTAATTTTGCTGAATTATGCAAGAGCCTACAGGCTATAAAACAGAGCCGTCTGCGACCGTTTTTCTCAGGTAAGTGAGTTCTTTCTTTAGGTAGGATCAAGGTATGTATAATTAATTTTTTAAATAGAAGTAGACCCCGTGGCCCCGCGGTTAGCTAAGAATCTCTGTCCCCGTATCTGGAAACACGGCTCACTGCTTGTCTAACTGTGTTTTGCTTTTCGTTTTCTAGGGAGCTACTAATAATTTTTTTTTGTGTGTTTCAGACAAAGACGATCGTAGTTTAGTTTCAGTATCCAACCCTAAGAAGCCACCCCATATCCATGCCGTCAGTTAAACCCCAGCCAGCAATTGCCTTCATGCTAATTGTGATGCTTAATTTTCTAGGAACAACTCACCATATTTTTTGTCGTTTCAGCTACAGAGTTAGTGGGTTGTGGGTTGTTGGATGTTGTGTCGTCGGTTGTGTGTTTTGTGTTGTGTTGTGTTGTACTGTCTTGTCCTCTACGTTTCGTATTGTCTGCCAGTCGGTTTGGGAGAAGCCCTGTAGCTCTCTCTTTTTCCTGGCCACACAAAGAACACATTTTGTGGATACTCCTTTTTAGGAGTTCATGGGTTCGAATCCCATGAATGTGTCAATTTCACGCTGATATCTAATGTGGTCCGTCTCAAATACAAAAGCACAACATCCAACGGACAATCTGCATCCTTTCATCACACCAACTACAAGTGTTGTCCTCATACAACAGAATGGAACTTCCAACGGAGCAAAGAGTAACCAATACCCAAGATGAAGTTCTTGTAACTTCTCAAACAGGACAGAATGCGGCACTTGTTAATGAAGTATTCTCGATGTTTAAGGGATCCTCTCAGTTAGACGTCCGATCAGAGGATATTTCAAAGTGGTAAGCTCATTTAAACTTGTGATTACTCTGCGAATACTTCACCCATTTTAATAAATATGAGACCACTAAACTCATTGCTGTCCGGTCGTAAACGGCGCACACAGATAATTTCGGTTTTATCTGGAAGTGTTTTATCAATTCAACTAGAAATTGTATTATCTTAAAGAAAAAACATTTACCTATTTGTATAACTTTAGTTCATTTCAAAAGCTTTCCTATAAGCCAAGATATTTATTGCAGAACTTGTACTTTTTAAATTGAATGTTAGAGAAGCAAAAATACGCAAAGCCTTCCAAAAATCTCGCCTAAAAACCTCCAAATATTTGTAGCTTACATTGGGATCAATATTTTCATATATTTTACTCGAAATACAGTTGCTTTGGCGATTTGTAGTGATATTTCCAACTAATGTGTTTACAAACGGAAACCCGAAAATGTACATATAATTATCACCATATTAGCGAAAATATGACAATTATGACCTTTAGGGACAATTTTACCCAGAAATCGATTTCTGGGCTTATTTTACCCCCACGGGGTAGGCAACATTACGTTTTTGACACCTCTAACCTCACGCGACAACCACTTGTGCATGCAGCTGAGCACCGCCCGCTATACACAATAACAAATAAAAAAATCTATATTTTTCGAGTTTTTCTGCCCATCCTGACTTAAATCCTATCAGAAAAGATAACTAATGCCTTTACAGTTTATATGTAACGGTTAAAAGACGACAGGATAAAAAATAACGAAGAAAATAACGAAATTCCAAAGGCGAGTTATATTTCCATTTTGTAATCCTGTGTAATTTGATATGATTTTTAGAGCTGCACTGCAGTGTCAGGTTAACAGCAATATTGATTAATTTCTTGATTAGAAATTTTCGAGCTATATTTTGGTGGTATTTTTGTGCTTTTTAAATTAAACGGATTAATTTCAACATTAAAAAACCAAGATGATTTCATGATATCTGGTGATGGAAGCATGACAGCATGGGTCATAGCGCTAAGTATTATGCGTACACAATATTTCACTGGTGTTATAAAAAATAGATTTTTTTTCTCCCTTTCCTATTATGTAATTGCATTTACTAATATATATGTAACTGTCAGGGGTGGGGGTATTATGTGAATATGAAAGAAAACAACCTGCATTTTGTTCTGTATATTCTTGTGTTATAGAAGTCAAAAATACATGCTGTTACTATACTGTATAGGCCCTTGTGATTCATATACAATTATAGTTTCAATTGTGTGATAGTTATGTTTTTGTAATCTCAATTGTAGATTCTATGGCATATAGAGTCGAATTGGTACGGCAAAATATCTTTGAGAATTGAAGTTTATGCGGTTCTTCAGGTATGTTCTGGCAATTCACTGAAATACTATTTGTTGGCTAAGGAATGTTGTCCCATGGTAGCGGTACGCATGAACCTGGGATATCACAATGCTGATAGCCTCACAACCCTGGACAATAATATAATAATTTACTTGTTCCTTGTGTTTCAATTTTAGATCAAATAAAGTATGGCAACCCAGGAGTTGCTAACAATTATTACCTTTCTCTTATCACTGACTACACCTCCATCCATCGCTATGCCATACATGGATTTGATGGACTGACATACCAAGCAAGGTAAATATTGCAGGCTACATGGTATATGTTCAGTTTAATTATGTCATATTAGGACTGTTGGACATTATTTTTTTATTCAGTAATTCCCCTATATAGGAATGTGATAAAATTCGATGTTAAGCCCCAAGTAAAGATTTCACAAAATCAATGGAAATAACGCTGTACCTCGACTGGTTTCAATCCTGGAGGAGCCGTGTATGGCAAAATTATATGCATTATCATTTCATTTTTGTTGATTCTTGTTCGATGGTGTTTTGGTGCCAGAAGATAATTGATACTAATTATTGGCCCACGTACTGAAGACACATAACATCCCAGATAATAGCAACAAGTGTTGGGAATGCGGATAAGTCGACAGGACATGGTCGCTTAAATGAGGCAGCTTCCTGGTCTGCACGGAAAAATAACCAGGACCAAATGCATTTGGCAAGAAAGATGTTTGTCGGAGCGATTTCACTCAAAGTCGTCGTGATTATAATTAGTGAGTGAAGACCTATTCTGTGTCCTGTAGTTCCGACGGGCAAAAATTCGATCATTACAAAATAAATGGACTAGTCAGGGTTAGCTGGATTAATAAGCAAGGCTTCTACAGATTGCCCTGTCACGTTATATGCATCACATCATTTCCATGCGGTCATATATAACTTTTAATGTGTGATTAAGATTAATTGTTTAACAAATTATTCATTTCATTAGAGACTCGCTGGTGGAAAATGTCCTATCACCAACTGTAACCGCGCTTTACATCCGCATTCATCCAAAGACATGGTATGCAACATATCTTTGAGAATTGAAGTTTATAGCTGTTTTTCAGGTATGTTCTAGCAATTCACTGAAATACTATTTGTTCATTAAGGAATGAGAAATGACTGAGAGATCCATCTGACTGAAATATATAGCGAAAATTTTTCAATAAGTGGCTTATGTAAGAGCGAGTTTTTGATTTAGAAATAAATTCTTTACACCCTACCAGCGGGTTTGTCAGGTTTTTTACTAACTTACAGTACTGCTCAGAAATAACCTAATCAAAAACGCGTTCCGAACGCGTTCCCGAACGCGTTCCGGACGCGTTCGAGGACGCGTTCCGAACGCGTTCCAGAACGCGTTCCAAACGCGTTCCAGAACGCGTTTCAATCGCGTTCCAGAACGCGTTCCGAACGCGTCCTCGAATGCGTCCGGAACGCGTTCCAGCACGCATTCGATATTCATCGGCTATCGACTCCGGATCTTGTCGTCAATACCCGGATATTCCCGATTTAGTTTAATCACACTGTGGTTTAATCTATGCTTTATAAATGGCGAAGCTCTCAGTGTACGCTAGAAAAAGGGTTATTTATTTAAAATCCACTGGAAATACACACAAAAAAATACAAGAAATTCTTCTTGAGGAAGGAATTAAAACCTCAACGTCGGCTATTTCTCTGTTTCTCTCGCGATATCGAAAGACGGGTAGCCTCGTGGACGGTGCTCGGAGTGGTCGAAAGCCGAAACTAAGCGAGGAGCATGGCAATTTTATAGATGAAAAAATGAAAGAAAATGACGAGTTAACATCCCGTGAGTTAAAAGAAAATTCATTCACAAAATACAAAAAAAAATTCATTCACAAAATACAAAAATGGACTTCGATACAGTTTGAATGCTGCTGTGTTGTCACCGACAAGGAATGAAGTGCAGGTATGAACAAACATGCAATTGTTAACTGAAATAGCTTAGCTGAGAGCACGGGTCGATCATTATAATTCAGATCTTCGTTTCACAATATCAAAACCTCAATTGTTTTACATGTACGGCACAGTATGATATGAATAAAATTCGAAATACGGTAATTACCGTGACTACTGTATACACTGTTTAAATGTATACTAACTGAAAACTAAAAACAATGGTTTATTAACTACCGAAAGTTTCTTTGAACAAAGACGGCGATAAGAGTCATCTAGCTAATTTTAACCGCGTTTTCCCTGTCAAATACTGGCTTTGGTTAAGCATAGCATATCCTAAGGCCATCAAGTCCAAATTTCTCAAGATGCTACATACATATTAGTATCATTTTCGAATGAGATACACAAGTCACACACTTGCTTATTTTTACGCGAAATAAAATAGCGCTTGTCCCGCATACTAAAACCGGAATTAACGAACCGTAGCATAAGCATATTGACTAGCTGTTCGATAATTTATTCGGAATTTCCGAAGGCACACGAAGCGTCTAAGTGAAAACACTGGAACGCGTTCGGAACGCGTTCGGGAACGCGTTCGGAACGCGTTCGGGAACGCGTTCGGAACGCGTTCGAGAACGCGTTCTGAACGCGTTCGGGAACGCATTCTGAACGCGTTCGTCACATTAGGTTACTTCTGAGCAGTACTGTAGGTGCATTGGAATACAAGTAAAAATAAGGCGTGTTTTAGAAGTTATACCTGGACGAGGAATCCAGCATATCATTATGAGGAACAAAGCTATTATAGCGGTATATACTCAGGGCTATCACAATCAAGTTTAGTGTTATCGCTTTATTTCAATGTTTGCTGCACGGTCGGATTCTCACAATTAAAGAAAATCAAGCGAAAAGTTTCACACGTACAAAAGTATAGGTATGGAACTGGGGCCGGTTGTTCGAAAGATGGATAACTTATCCAACGGATAAGTCCTATCCAACGGATAAATCTGGATAGTTATCCATTGGATAAAAACGCGTTGCAGGAAGCGTGGATAGTGAAGTGGATAGCTATCCAATAGATAAGTTAAAATTTACCAGAAGAAAACAGGATTATTCTGAAATTTCGTACCACAACGTCAGCTGTTGCTAAGCATTTACAACATTGAATTCATAATCATTACGAATTCTCGAGTATAGTTACTGAATGGAAAAGACTTGAACAAGTGATTTGCTCGTAACTTTGCACTTCACATCATAGTGATTTTATTAATTAAACACATTGCAATTTTATTCCTTGACCTTGCAACGCTTTGCCTTTCGGTCCAATAGCAAATTTAGAAACACTATTTTAATGTTCGTGAATGAAATTACTTAGATATTAGCAAGTTTCCTTGGAATAGGTTGAATCTTTCTTTGCATATTCGCGTTTATAAACTGATTAGAAGCGTATAGTAAATTTACCACCTGTTATAAATGCGAGGATGTCCAAAAAATCGCCGGTCGAACGGAATGTGTAGGCAACGTGAAACGCTGCTGCGACAAATTGCACTTCGAAAACATTTTTAATATATAGTGAATACAATCATGATGTGTATTAGTTTGTTGAAACACAGTAAGAGGAATATTGCATTTTTGTCCTATTTTATATAAATGTTTACAGTGTTACCTTGTATCTTTGAATTTATCCACTGGATAGTGGATTTAAACCACCTCCGGACCTTGGATAAATTTATCCGGTAGATAGCGATTTTTATCCTCTGGTTAAAGTTATACAAGCTTCGTGCAACCCAAATCACACGCTGGATAAAACTTATCCGTTGGATAGTGAGTTATCCGTTGGATAGCGACTTATCCACCTTTCGAACAACCGGCCCCTGTTCTTTTATTTATCGGAATAACTAGTGATGTGATCTTACATGAAGCATTTTCAGTCATGCTGCTAAACTGTCGTGCTGGCTCGCCACTGAGTATTTTATTTGCTCGCAGAGCCTCGTCTGCGAACGTGACCGTCGGCCAGTCTTCACCATGTACGGTGACAGTTATTTTCTGCCTTTTAACTTGCCGACATGCAATGTTTCATTGCACGGTGAGTTTTCAACTTTACTGAAGGCGCTACTATACAATATGCAATTTTCCTTACAACTTGCAATGCAATTATAATTCCGAAGGATGTTAATTTGTAAAGAGTGTTCGAAATACTAAGGAAACGTTAGCAGATCGTAATAGATGTTCGTATTTGACAACTTTAGATGCCTCAGGAGTAGAATGGTTTTGCAATTTGCAAGGAAAGTTGCGTAGTGTAACAGCGCCTTGAGATTGTTTCGGAAAGCTGGTTAAATTTCGATGTAACTTGCAAACATGTAATGTTTCATTGCAATTGCGAGTTGAAAATAAGGGTCATTGGACGGAAGAACGGGACAAGTATCGTAGTTTTCAACATACCTTTTATAAGGGCGGAGACATTGATCTTCCATCCACGGTCGGTTTTATCATTTTTTCTGCTTTTTCTATCATTTCTTTATCCTACAAAAGACAAAAACCTTGTTAAATCGTGGATCAATCTAACACTTTTAAAAGCTTTCTCTCCTAACTGAACTAATTTTATTTATACCGTATAGTTCTATCAGTTCTAAATTGTCCTTCATGGAGGTCCAGTAGGGGTCATCCCGTATTGATCCAGTGTTACTACAGGAGGAAACCTGAACTAAACTGACTTTATTTATGCTGGATAGCTGTATCAGTTCTAAACTTCAACCAAACTAATTCTAACAATTCGAAAAAGCTGGGACTTCAGACGAAAAAGGTCAGCCGATTTTGAAAAATCTTAGATGCGGGGTGTTATAAGGCGGTTAGTAATTTCATCATCACCTTCATCCAAGGATGTTCCAGAGCTTCTGAAACCGTGATGCATTTTCTGTGACCAACAGTAAGCAGTTTTGTTATAAGATCCTTAGCTTCACTGCTAACATTCTTCCAGAGGTTGTTCGGAAATTTATACGACCCTTCTTTGACTTGTTTCTCCAATGGGTTATTTGCCTGCTTTGAAAATAAAGAAGATCCGGAAAGTCTAAAAGACGTTAACTTTTCATTGACGTACTCCAATTTTGAAATGAGGTTAAGCTACCTCCAGCTTCATTACAAATCGTGTTCACTACGTGAATTTGAGTAAACTGAAGTATATGGCATACCAAACATATAACACACGATTTCTTGTAGGATCGTTCTTCAGGCTACGGGATTAACATTTTGGTAGCGAGGTAACTTGGTGTACCACAGATTGTTTCCATATAGGAATTCTGATCTAAAAAATTAATTGTTATCATTGAGAAACTGTAACAATGAGAAATAACTGAACCTAAAACGTTTGCAGAATGCGCTCTGCTTTCGTAAAACGAATCAGGGACAAAACTCGGAATTGAGATTATAGTGACTTCCAGGATTTGCTGGCAATGGTCACATCGAATGGTTTCTTCAAATACAATTTAAAGGGCAATTTAAACACAAGTTCAATACACAACCGACACAAACCTTTATAAGCGTTTCGTCATACGAGGAACACAATAAAACATTTTCTGGCTAGAGAAGAAAAAGTTAAATTATGGTCGTTAAAGTTTAGGATATAAAGACAGTAGTGAAAAAAAATTAGGGCGTGCTTACCTTCCAATCCCTGTTAGTGATGCCATTTTCATGTAAATGCTAAAAATACGAAACAGTATGAATAAAGTTAGTTTAGTTCAGGCTCCTGCAGTAACACTGGATCAATAACAGATGATCCTTAGCTTGGTGTCATTAAAAGCTCCAATCTCTTCGTGATATTTTCCATAAACTTTAGTCATCGCCTGTGAATGAAATATTCCAATTTGTTTAATTCATTCTTCGAAGGCTACACATGGCTACATTCCCGCTAAACGACATCCTCACCTGAAGGCACATTGCTTTCATAGTTGGTTTAGTTGTCAATAGGAATCAGTGATACAGATCGTTAGACAACTCGAGCCTGAAAACAAAATAGAAAAGTCGATCGAATCTTGAATGGTTTCATCCATGATTCTATACTTCTCTACTACATTCTGCAGGACAAATAACATTGCGTGAACTGTGCAGCAATATAGAGAATAGGGGGAAGCCAGACAGAAAAGCACATGGAAAGTAGTTTGAATATTTGCAAACCCTGATAGATAAATGTCGTGGACTCACACATTTGTTATCGGCGTCTCCTCGTCGTTTTGTTCCAACAAGACTCTCAAATAATAGTCACCTGATAGCAGAGATACGTTACTGAGTTTGATTCCTATCGAGGAATAAGGGGGGGACGCTTTATGAAGAACTGTTAAAAAGCTAGAGCAGTTAGGCTTATCACTAACCTATTTCAGTTCATCAGCTAAACATTCATACAGGACTTCAAACTAAAGGTGATTCCAAAAGACAACGTAGTTTCCACTCAGATCTTTTTCCATTGCAAATGCGTGCAAATCAGATTCGAGTGCCCCAGAAGTTCCTCTCGCGTCTGTCACATTGAAAACATAAGAAATTGTTTCATACTCTTTTACGAGAACAGTTTAGAGAAAGAGGTCAGGACTATTGAATTTGTCTTGTTATACTCATAGCGACAGGAAATCCTCCATTACATTTCCATATCCTATATTTTCAACGGAAACTAACCTTAACTTCGAGACTCACCTTGTAATTCCAAATCAGGTTGTACGCTGTCAGATCTTGACTGAATCTGTAAAAAAGATCCGCTTAAATATCATTGCTTTTTCATCTTTCAAACGACTAGAACATTTTCCCATTTTCTTAATATGAACACTTACTTGTAATAAAAAAACTGGATTTAAATTCTCACATCTTTCCTGGATTTGAATCCTATTTTTGTCCTCCAATGCGAGAGATATCCTTCAAGTTGATTCCTCAACGTTCCCCTCGTTTTTCCAGAGCTCTAAGACACAAGTATAGCACGTGAAATAACAGGCTTATACGTACATGCAAGCATGCATTATGAAATTTTGGAACACGATTGTTGATTTAAAACGTACTTCTGCAAGCTTTACATTGTCACGAATTGATAAACGATCTTCTTCAGTCTCTGGTGGCTGAAGGAAAGATAAAAACTTTCCAACAAAATTGTTTCTTTACAAAAAGGTTTTACACTTCTGAATGAATTACCATTTAATTATTTCCTCAGTGGGGCAGTTGGCAACAGTTTAAGGATGAATGATGGAGTTTAGTTACCAAAGCAGTTGATACACTTAGTCATGAATACGATTGGTTAGTCAGAATCACCTCAATGGGTTTATGTAAATAATGGCCCTCGCAAAAAAGTTTTCAAAGATTTCTTACTTCGTCAGGGCTTTCAAGGTAATAGAGCAAACCAGCAGGCTGTGAAAATCGTATTCAAATTTATTACATAATTGTTTATGAACCAAAAATTATGAACAGAAATCTCGCATTTAAACTTTCTTGTATATTTTAGACATTAAAAACTATAACTACTTTAATACGAACATTATTCTCGCAAGTAATGCCATTGCTGTTGGATGATGCTATGCCAACAATAATGATTAAAAAATACTTATGGAGTATGCTTGTTAGTCTCAATTGAACTATTTACAGATAGCTAGTATATAGAGGATTATAAAATCACAAGTTTTAAGATGAATCTGAGAATGTTGCTAAAATACAACTCTGGTCCTGCGGATGGAATAGAGGCTATACCTCTGCAACAATTTGTTAATTTATCACACTAATTCGCACCTGTTCAATAGCGAACGTTTATCAGTGCTTTGCGTAAACATGGCCATGCGTAAGCGTTTTGGTAGAGCGCTCTCGGCAAGCGCCAGAACTTGTATTTTTGCCGCGGTTTCTTCATCAGCTTCCTAAAGTGAAGTTCTAACTAAATATTAACAGATGATTTTAGGCACTTCACACGATGCAGGAATATTCTTGAGGTTTTAAAGGGTCTTAATTTCGAGTGGTATTATACGCACTTCAAATTCAAGCAGGGAACAGTTGATGGAAAAATGAGTCAACTGTACGTCTCAGTGACAAGAGCATTGCACCGGCATCGCAAAAGCGTAGGTTCGATTCCTGCCGGAGGATCTATAGTTCACTCATTTTTCCGTCATCTGTTCCTGGCTTGATTTGAAGTGTGTATAATACCTCTCAAAATTAAGACCCTTTAAAACCTCTTAAATATCAACTGAACTAATATGTACATTCATCACAGCTAAAAAAATGCAGAGCGTTATAAATGACGTTCGTCAAAGGCAGAAAATTCTCAATGGATGAATGAATGAATAAAACGTACCTCGATTATCGCCTTCAGAACCATGCCAGCACTTTCACAATTGTTGTCGACGGATGCTGAAATTGTTGAGGAACGAATTCAAAACCACGATTGGTAAGAACCATTAGCGGGGCAATAGTAAAACATACATAAGCGAAGAAATGGTAAAATTGGTACTATTATTTAGTTTTGTCGTAAACCTACCTGGAACAATCGATAAATGCAATGACCCATTTCTAGACAAACAAATAACAGACTTCATGAGTTGCTCCTATGCATGGGTCAAGCTAGTGGACGTGGTAAACTTCACCAAAAAGGTAAAGAGAGAAAGGCTATTTAATCAACTCTCAACCTCAGTAAAAGAGCCATAAACTACCAAGAAGACAAGTTGAATGAAAAGCTCCTCAAATTTCTTTGTAGCATACCTCAACTTTCTCCAGTAATTTTCCCAAACTGTTCATCATCTGTTGTCTCACTAAGAGGAATATCGCAATAGTCGAATTTATTGTAACAGACTACATGAGTTGATTCAAAATATTGGAAGCAATCACACCTTACTATTAGTTTAACATGAATGTCCAACTTCACCCCCGTATTCTTTTAATATATTGCAAAGCAACTAGAACAAACCTGTAAGGAGGACACAGAGCAAACGTCAGAATATCAAGCAATCCACTTATAACTAAAACCCCAGTAGAACGAATATAGAAGAAAAGTTTTCATGGTTAATCTATTTCTTGTGTTTAGTTAGAAAGGTAGTTCAAATTAGAAAGGCAGTTGCTACGAATCACTTGCTGGGTTTTGCAAGGGAATTTCTCTTCCAAAACAAAGCTATATACATACAAGAGGGATGGAAAAATAAAATGCAAGGGTTCAGCATAGATTATAGGCAACCAACACCGCACATCTTACAACATTTATCGTGAGAATTTCCAACAAACTGCTTAGAAATTTTTCAAAGGATAACAAAGAGCTTTTATTTACCTGTTCTTGTCGAATGTCATAGTTATCGTGCGTTGGCTATATAAAAAAACAGAATTGGTTTCGATAAAATTGGATCCTGTTAACATTCAGATTTCAAAGTTGGCTAAGTTTATGTGGATTGCAAGTTAAAGGGGTAACACTAATGACAGTGACAGATTTGGCAACATTTTACCAGGAAATTCATCGTTAAAGTGTTGGCGCTTTCCTTTATACGGAAAAAACGGCCAGACCGGTCCTATTGTTGATCTCGGTACAGACAGATTACTGGTATTTTAGAGTGTTTCAAGAACTCTGCGTTCAAGTATATCGTTACTTGCATCTGTCTAGCTCGGAAATTTCGCAACTATATTCTTAACGAAATACTCTATCTTAAATTTAAATATGACCGGTCTGACCATTTGGCCGCTTAAAGGAAAGCCCTCTCTTTACCTGCATCAGAGCACACAGTATGTCGACAGCGGCGTGAGTCACGGCTTCATTATTCCTCTTCAAAGCTTTCACACAGTTTTCACACCAACCTTCTCATAGAAGCTGTAAAAACAAAACAGAAACACGGTCTAGAGAAAAATGAGCTGGTTGAGTAAACAGCGTGTGTTATGGTTAAAGATAAACGTTTCTCACCTACTGAGCGTTGTGAAACCTGCTTTGGATCCAACCTAATGTCTCAAAGCGTGAAACAGTGCTTCGAGATCTTTATCTGATATTTTGTTTTGGTCTCCTGCAAATAGACGAAACATTTTAACTATTTTATGTATATATTGAATACCTGTGAAGGTAATAGCAGTCAGAATATGTATATTTTAGGGGTGAACACTAAATATATTTATTGGCAAAGATATACAATACCTTCGTGAGCAATGAGCATTGTGATGGCATTAATGATAAGTCTTTCTTTATTCTCCGGGAAAAGTCCTTACAAAATATTTAAAATCGTTTAAAATATATTGGAGTTTAAAAGACTTAATATTCCAGCCGTACTTCTGGCGAGAAAAATTCAAATCTACCATTTCATGGATTCGGACCCAGTCAACTCAGCAACCAGAGTTACCGCAGCGTAGTCCCTAGGCTCTTAACGTTCTTTATACGCGGCGAGCCGGGAACTGAGAGGCCAAGAACAAAATGTTTTGTATTTTATCTATTTTGTCCCACTTTCTGTATTGAGGTCAGTTTACGATCCACGACACGGTTAACTGGCCTTGTTCGACGTCGCTAGTCAAATATTTGCTTGAAATAACCTACGGGATATTAATTATACTGTCAGGACTTCGAAATATCCATACAAACGTTTCAATGTCATTTGCTGTCGACGCTATCGACTATCAAGTAAACTCGAGTCCGTGCGTACATGGTTATGATTATAATAAGCTTCAACTGCCAATTTAAATTATTCTCGCTTCCTTTAAACGAATATTGTTGTAAATCTAGGTCAACTAATGCATACTAAAATAAGCAGAAAACTAACGTGCGTATGAAAAACACGTGAGTGGAAAACAGCCTTAATCCAGATTTTGACAGAACATTAAAACTCAGTAAAAATGCAATAATATTCTCTACACAGGATTTTGTCTGCAGAAAAGTACAAAATAAGAAATTGTCAACTTACGTCTTGGGTGACTGCATGAAGTAGACCGCTGTAGGAAATATTGCAGTTAAATCTCTACACATCTTCGGTTAAATTTCCTGCAAGGAACCAGTAATAAGACAATATAAGCTTTGGGAGATATTTCAAAAATTTAAAGTGAAATAAAAAGAGAAATATTTCACCTGGAGACGCAGCGAGGAATTTTAAATGACTGCTTTCTACTTCTTCGTCAACAACGTTATACAATGGACCCAACGATAACCTTGAAAAATATATCATTTAAAAAAAACAATTCTTCTTTTGCTGTATGTGATGTATTGCACTGACTAATAGGAATACCTGACGAGAAGTGTAATTGTTTGTGTGTTATATGAGATCCCATACGTCAGGAGGAGAATGAAATGAGGGTTCGTATTTACGGCAATCATAGCAGTGCGAGATTTTCATCAGGAAAATTTTGACCATAATTTTCGCTCAATCATTTATGAAAAAGCGTACAGTACCGTCTCTTCGTTGGGGTCGTTTTTACACAAACATCTCCATTTCCACTGCCTCTAACCCCGTGTAGCTAACCAGCCAATGATATATCCCTAGATTGAGTGAAATACAAACATTCAGAACAAGAAATATTTTATATAGCTTCATACAAAATCTGCTTTTTTAAACTACCTGTCGGAAGACGAGTAATTTCTCAGCTGACCGCTTGTGTATTCCAGCCCGAACAACTGAGGATGGTCTCGATAGCTAATTATCGAAAATATCTGACAGAAAAAGAAGTTTTATAACTATGATATACTATAATACACAAGTCTTAACCAAACGGTATATTCTGGAAAGTAACTGCAAAAATAAAACTATTTTAAGTCGGCTGGATACTTTTTTGCAATTGGACATGTTCAAAATGGAAACGTGAAATAAAAAGATGATAAAAGCAGTAAACTTGAATCCAGGTCAGAAGACATGGAGTGTTTGGAGTGTTTGGAGTGTTTGGAGTGTTTAGAGTGTTTGGAGTGTTTGGAGTGTTTGGAGTGTTTGGAGTGTTTGGAGTGTTTGGAGTGTTTGGAGTGTTTGGAGTGTTTGGAGTGTTTGGAGTGTTTGGAGTGTTTGGAGTGTTTGGAGTGTTTGGAGTGTTTGGAGTGTTTGGAGTGTTTGGAGTGTTTGGAGTGTTTGTTTTTTTTTTTCTTTCAAGGTCTGAGATGAACAATTACTGGAACTGACATGGAATGTCGCATGACTTACTGAGCTAAGGGGATGAAGGCTGACGATGTTGAACATATATTATAGTAATAATAGTTTATAGTTTATTATATATTATAGTAATAGAGTTGATGTTCGCGGGCATAAATGTGTTTTTGGCCCTCCTCAAGGAACACATTTTAACCCTCGCTACGCTCGGGCTAAAATCAGTTCGAAGTCGGGCCAAAAACACATTTATGACCGCGAACATCAACTCTATTGTTATATTATTATCACTATAACATACACATGAGTATATACAAAATTAGTAAAATACAATAATTAGTAAATACAATAATTAGTAAATACAAAAGTAGTAAAATACAATAATTAGTAAATAGATTTGAATAAATATAGTTCACCTGGTGCAAGGCACTTTTTAATGATAACTCCAAGCTTATACTTTCTGGATAATTTAATACATTCTATAGGGTTTAATGATCAATATAGGGATAAGTATCATAAAATTGTTTGGCTGTTGGGGTTTATAAACTATCAAAACTACAAAATTATATCCTGTCAAAATTTCGAATTTCTAAAATAATGCCGGGTTTATGGTCATTTGAATTTGCTTGCTACTTTTATAATACGCAAAAAGTAGACGGTAGACACTGATTTTAAGTTCAAATTTATAATATTTCAAAAATATATTATGCATTATTAATTATTTAACATACCTTGAATAAATTTGAAGTTTTACATGATTCAAGAACATTTTCATTTGTATACCAAACTGTTTCGCCTTTGGATTTGATTCCGTTCATTAGTCAAAGTACACTTCAAGATGTCGGGCTTCCCTTCAAAATTGTCGAGGCCAGGGATATGACGGTGCTAGTGCTGTGTCCAGCCAGGTAAAAGGTATTTCTGGGAGAATATTAGAGAAAAACCCGAAGGCGTTGCATGTTCATTACTCCAGTCATCGTTTAAACCTTATTGTTGCCAAAGCGTGTTCAATTCTTCCAGTGAAAAATATGTTGAGTCAGGCACAAAATATCGCCAGCTTTTTTATCAGTTTCCCTATCCGCTCACAGTATCTAAGTAAAAAGATGAAAGAGTTTGGTTTAACCCGTAACAAGCTCGAAAAGCCTTCCACGACACGATGGGTAGAACGAATAAGATCCCGCGATGGTTGTTTGGATGCATTCAAAGTTATCTACGAAACACTCAATTTTATGCAGTTTGGAGGATCGCAAGAAGGGCCATTTCCTAGATTAGCTAGTGACGCACAGTCTCATTTTTGCAACGTGGAGAAATTTGATTTTTTGGCTGCTCTCATTATCACCCAACATGTTCTTGATCATACTTTGTCATTGACGGTCCAATTAAAGAAGAAAAAAAAATCGATATTGCGGAATCAATAAAACGGATTAATCTTTTAAAGGATGAAATGGCAAAACTACGTGCCTCTGTAGATTTATTCCACAATGAATACTACGACAAGCTGTTGGAATTAGCTAATAACCTCGACGTGGCTGAGTGTTTTCCCCGGGTATGTAAAGCTCAAACAAAATGTGATAATCATCATACCAGTACAGCAGGTGGTTACAACAGATTAACAGTAACCATTAAGAGTCGTGCATAGGCCACGTGATAACGAAACATTCTGAGCTCATCAATGAACAATTGTAAAGGTTTTATTGTAACTCATAGGAAAACCTAATGTTATATTTTGTAAAATCTATTATATTACGAGTGTCTTTCCCTAAGTCTACCGACCCCTGAATTCCCCACGCTATCGTCACCTGTAATAAATAAGTAAGGTTGCAAGTCCTCACCTTCAACCACAAGGATTTAATTACGTAAATCGAAGTGCAAAATTGAGATTACCGGTTTCTGAGTTTACTGGTTTATAATGCTCAGTATTTAATAATCCGTAAGACCAATTTATCATTATTATTACTTGACTTACGGATTCATTAAGTTTATCCTCGTCTTAACTCAAAAAAGTTTTCAAAGGACTTGCATCCAGAAGGGATTTACCAGGAACAGGCTAAAATTAAACAGATATTGAGATTAATGCACGATGATGATTCGTGATCTTAAAATTGCTACCTTTTGAAACTCTTCACGAGTTAATAAGCCTTGACTGTTCCTGTGAAAGAAAAATTGGTAAATATAGTCATATTATAATATATATTTCCTCCATATTGCAAAGGTAATTTCGCTTGCCTTCAGTTTCTTCCATGTGTAAAACAGTGTCTTTGGAACCTGGTACGACATCAATCTGAAACGATTGTAAAATGAAAAAGCTAGTCTAAATCAAAGATCTCTTTCTTCTCTGCTTCCCCTGCCAGTCATGTTAGTAGCAATGTAAGGGATGGATAGTGAATGTTCTTGCACGAAATAAATTTCATGCAAAGCGAGTTTGAAGAGAAATTCTTACCATAAAAGCGCTTGGTCCATATCTCGGCCTACGACTCAAATATCGAGTTCGTTGAACAAATGCCGAACCAAGATTCAACTTTTGACCGGAATCTTGTAATAAAATCGACGAGGGTGAAGATCTGCCGTGTTCTGTAAGCAGCATCTTTTGTTCTGCGCTGTCTAAAATGCAGGCAGATAATTTGTTCATTTCGTAAATGCGCGAACAATGGCCGATCTGTTTTAACATTACAAACCTGACTCCTTGAGTTCGGTTTTCTTCATTTCAACATCATCCCGGGTATCTTCAATATTAGTTTCCTCATCTTCTCTACACGATGCGAGGCGATCTTTGACAAGATCTACAATCAATGTACGCTGTCTGTGCTCTCGCTAAGAAGTTCTGTTGTAGTTTCAAGGCGTTGTCTGGCTCCTTCTTTAATGAGTTCAGCCGATAAATCATCTGAAATACAACAATATCAATTTGACATTCCGCCAACGGAATGCCCAACCGAAACATTGAACAGGTTTGACCCATCGTTGACAAGTTGTGGGCGAAAACATTCAGAGCACAATTTGACTGAGAAAATAAATGGGCTTACCAAAGAGTTGTTTTGGAATTAAACTTTCATAAATCTCAGTCTTTCCCATCGCTGGTCGTCACAAGATGTTTGAGTCACAAGATTTCTGTACTGAGCATACGGTACCAGTAGCCTTTAAATCGCGGGTAAGAAGGTCAGATGCTTTGGTATCGAATTTTGTGTTTGGCACCTGGCTAGAATCATCTGCACGAGTTTTGCTATCAGTTGAAGAAGCCTGGAAATGACAAATAAGTTCCTAAGAGCTTTCACTAGAAGAATATTAAAACTTGGTCGCTCTTGCAAATATATCTATTGAAAATTCAGCAAGCAATCCCCGTGGCAATAGAATGACATGTGGACTTACTTTCGTAATAAATGGCACGAATTGTTTTCTTAAGTGTATTGAGAGTATCTAAGGTGAAACATATCAGTTCGTTTATATTTTAATCATTTTGACAAAACCAATAATAAAAAGTTTCAGATGTTATCGCGTTGAGCCAACTTCGATGATTCTGTGTAAGGCAAACATATTCCAAAGACTTGTTTCAACTGGATCGCTGTGAAGTTTTTGTACAAAGCACAAAGCTGTTACAATGCGATTTAAACGATTTAAAAGAATGTTACCAACTTTTCGCCGAATACGATTGTGTGTTTACACAACCTAGCTCTCTTTAGGGGGTACATTGATATTTTGTAACAGATTTCATAATTTACGTAACTTCAAGAAACATACCAGAGAGAAATTCTAGCAGTGGTATGGCAACTTGAGACGTTGGCGAAAGTTTAGTAAACTTTTCCAGATATTGTGGGAGCAGTCTAAGGACAGAAAATTTAGTAATTATTACTTAAAAAATCATATATTTGTGAAGGAGTATCTCGCATCACAAGAGACGTTACGTTTAGGCTGGAGTTTATTGAAAAACGTTTCTGTAAATTCACTGAGCACATTATCAAGGCACGATTTCAAATACCTCCAAAGAAATAAACTTCTAAAACGCTGCAACTACTTAAATCAACTTCATTCTTACAAAGTGCTAATGGAAATAAAAAAACGTCTCAAATTCCAGACTATTTTAAGTAGCCATACCTTGCCATAACTGAAGGCATTTCTAACATACATACGGTGAGACAAGATACGCTTAACGTCGCGAAATGAGCAACCAAGTACGCATCAGACAACACTAGACGAAATATACAACAACGTTTAAGCAAGAACAGACAACCGCTGAAAATAAAGTCACGCAGATTCTTACCTGTTCATCTTGACCAATAAAAATGTGGTACGTACACAGCTCCGTTAATACCTGCACGTGTTACAATAAAATATCCAATTAAATCATTAGTATGGTATGATATAATTATGGTATGATATGCATGGTTATGGTATGGTATGATTTCGTTATGGTATGGTATGGTGTGATATTATTATGGTAAGATATGGTTATCGTATGGTATGATTTAGTTATGGTTAGTTATGGTATGATATGATTATATGATATGATTATATGATATGATTATATGATATGATTATATGATATGATTATATGATATGATTATATGATATGGTATGGTTATGGTATGGTATGGTTTTGGTATAATTATGGTAAGATATTATGATATATGCAAAAAACTGATTGATAAGAACCGTACTGGAAAAATTCTAGCGTACAAATGAGGTCGGCGCATATCGTTAGGAACACGAAATAATCCAGGAAGAAAATCGTAATTTGAAACCTGAATGCAAAGTAAAATTTTTAGTTCATGATTTTGGTGTGGAAAGAACACAACTTCACTTCCCTTCACATTTTAGAGAAGACTGTAGATAATGAACGTAAATATTGCTTTCCAGAAAGTATCAAGTTTTTATCTTGCAGTGCCTCTGGAAAGTTCCTCAGAAGAACATCCAACACCTCCCATTCCAATTCCTAGAAAATGAAGAAAGTTGAACTTCAATCGAAACTTAATGCCAGATGATATATTATGATAGAAAAGTTTACCTGTTGTAAGCACACAAGAATAACATTCATCGCCTCGCTGTAAGGCAGTGAAACAATCCCGTTTGTCTTATCTTCTGCAGAACTAAAACAAAAATGAAAATGTATTACGCAAACAAGAAAAGGAATTTTGGAAGCAGAATACCTGACATACGTGGCACTATCGTCATTAACCAACCTTTTCTTTCAGAACAAACAAAATACGAAGTGAATTAAACTTTTCTACTTTTGTCTTGCACAAGGCCTAGACGTTGTCAGCTCGCAGACTGAGGAAACATTGAAGAATCTTTAAGAAAACACAATGTGAGACATCATAGAAACATCGCGAGAAATAAAATTGAATTTGCCTTACCGAAAGCCGTATTTCCGATGCACTATACGTCCGATAGCCATTGTCATAATGAGTTTTTATGTGGTACACTAATATATTGAATATTCGTTCGGCTCGTTCTTGAGGTTTACGAAACAATTTCATCTGCAAAAATAGAATGAAATTACTGAAAGAGAAGCAAGTGTGGCATTAAATTACACTTATTTTTGTTCACGAAAATAACTTCATCACAATGAACGAATATGTGTGGACAATCTCTGCATGTCCTTCATTACCTTGAACAAGCGTACTAATCCTAATACAGCCTCTTTGATGTCTTTCTATGCTGTTTCATCCTGAGGCTGCAGCAACAAAGACAAATTACAGTGATTAGATGTAATTTTATGTCTCTAGATGTTCCTACATATACCTTGCAGTCTCTATAATTACCTTACATGTTCTTTACATGACGGCTTAACGTATCGTTTGAGAGGATCAACTGGACAGTGGCAATCTGGAATTGATAAATGAAATATATATCCTTTTACTTCACTGATGCGTTTGCATTCACGACCCCCGTGTAAAACGATCCAATTTGCGGATATATAGTTAGGTTCAGGTCAGGAAGCTTTCACTGATAAGAAAGAGTTTTCTATTGAAGTACAATATCAGCTCATCACGAATGAAGAGGGAAATTGGAGTGGAGAAATGAAACCGTCTGAAAATGATTGTATTGAGTACCTTCTCGATTATATGCAAAACATCGCAAACTTTCGGTGAATCAGAGGATTCAATAACATCGACCAGAAGCTGGACAGCTCGGATCCGCACAGAAATATCCCGATCTTTGACAATGTGGTCTAAATGTGACAACACTGAATTCTCAAGTATTTCTTCCTGTAAAAAACACGGAGTTATAAAACTAGAAAAAGATTCATAATATCGCTAATGTCTAGAAAAATGGACTAAAATTTATTCAAAGTACTAAAATTTTATACCTCATATAGTGGAGATAACGTTCCTAATATGTTACAAAGCACATTTAGAGCTTTAATTCGGTTGGCCGTCCTCTCTTCACATCTAAAAAAAAATTCCCATTAGGATAAGACTGAGGCTACATAGAAATACATCACGAACTTAAACAAAAATCAACATACCAAAATATTACATTTTTACATAACAAAATATAAAGAAAAAAGAAGACCACACACTTGAAGTATTTCTCCACCAAATCTTTAATATTTTCAAACCAGTTTTCGCAGTAAGGATGAAGAGACTGGAACGATGAGAAACCAGGAGAATAACTGATGATTACTGCAAACAACGACATTTCATTTAGCTGCAAACAACGACATTTTATTTAGCTAAGTGGATTCCGTTAGATCTTCATATATTTTATTAATTTTGTCCTCAAAGAAAGTCATAAAATTGTTAGCTTAGATTCTCATCAGATTGGCACACAGGATATTGAGAATCAGGGGTATAATGTAGTAACTTTCCAACGGTTTTAAATAATTTCTTTTGGTCACTCCCATTATCTCTAACAATTTCAGAATAATAACGAGTACGACTTTCCTATAATAGCTCACTGACACGGCGACATTGCTGACTGTATTTTAGACGATCACAGGATTGTCTTGACTTACGCCATACCCGCTCGAGTTTCCTTCTGATACGTTTTTCGTTTTTAATTTGTTCAGTGT